TAATCTTATGAAAAGGCCACAACACTTGGATGCTTGAGGTGCTTTCAGGAAGTCACAGGCACACTGCAGTCCTTTCAAAGACAGGAGAGAGGGGAACGGGGCCAGAGGTTCTTTGCTGCTTTATTTCCATCACTCTATAAAAGCAAACAGCCCAGCACACCTCACTGGATGTGTTGATGAGGCTCCCAACTCAGGAACAGCTTGGTGGACACCCTTCTCTGGCTCCTCTCCCTGTGTATGTCTCTCTCTGTCCCTAAGTTTTCCTGCAGTCGCTTGCACAGCTGCAGAAGAGCAAATGAAGGCACAGAAAAAACAATCCAGCACTGGGCCGGACCCCAGCGAGTTGTAAACAGGTCAGTCCCGAGCAGCAAAGCAAGGAAACCCTGGAGAAAACACGGCAGGGGCCGTGTGACACCGGGTCACCCCACACACACACGTGCTCTGCTGCCTCTTCCAGGGCCAGGCACTTCCCCTGCTCTCCCCCAAAGCCCTGTTTTGGCTAACTCAGAGCAGATCTTCTGAATAAACACCTCTCTGTTGGACATGCAGTTCAGGTGCCGGCTGCTCCGGCTGGGAATCCCTCATGTCCTTGCTATGTCCTGGAGGCATGAGAGGGCAGAGGAAGCAGGGCAATCTTCAGCCTCCATCTCCTGCTGCCCCACGACCTCTGGGTTGCCACTGCTGACCCTGCTGGGGTTGCAAGGGGTTGGCTAATTTGGACACGTTCAGGCAATTGCTGTCATCAGCTTCCTGCCCTGTGGATCGGGGAGGTTTTTGCTGTAGGCGGGAGTCAATTATTTGGCAATCTCGGGATGAGCGGAAGAGACTATTAGTGTTTGACATTTTGAAGGGAAATGGAAAACAGCCCACCTCTCCCTTTCTGCCAGCTAAACCAACCACTTCATATTAAACTTTACATGGCTCCTTCCTCATACAAATTAGCTCAACAACCGCTGCTCTTCTCCAGTGTCAATGGGCCACCTCACAGAAGGATGCTTGACCACGACTCCTAACCTGCTTTCACAGGATGGCCATCTGGGCTGCACAATGGAAGCCTAGGAGCAGCAAAAACCCCTCATGGAAGACACAAACCTGCAGGCTGAGCAGGGGACACAAGCATGGAAGTATCGCCAGTTTGTTAAAATAAACACGACTGGAGCTGCGTGTTGTACACCCAACTTCCCGACCTGACAACACGCGGGGGAAAACTTGTTTGAAGGTTAAAAATCTTACTGCAGAGAAAGATCAGGGCTAAGTGGAAGGATGGCAAATTTAAGAGCTGTTCAGCTAACCCATGGAATTCACAAGAACAAACTTGGACTGTTTCAGACACTTTTCCAAAACTTCATTCTAGGCTTCCTTATGGGATGGAAAGGTTATCCCATTTCTCCCCAAGACTCCTCTCCATGGATTTATGCAGAGAGAAGACTTGCCTTGGAAGTGTAGGGTAGAGAGCAAGACAGACCCATGGGGAAAATAAGCAGTAGGGGTCACAAACCAGCAGCTCTGGTTCCAATTGTATTTAAAAACTATTCCTTGAGAAAGAAGGGACAGCAGTAGGGCTGTTGGTGAGCAACTTGTTTCAGAAGTAGCAGCTATAGTGGTGATGTCTCCTGATTGACAGAACAAGGTTTACAGCTGGGATATCTCTCTCCTGCCTGCCCTAACTGCAGAATATGCAATATTAGTGCTTTGCAGTGAATGTTGAAATCCCCTCCAGAATCAAACCCTCACTGCACCTCCCACCGTGCAAAGATACAGAAGCATTTTGATTTTTTCCCCTGCCTTAATATGATGGTTTGAGGCTTGAACAGTGCATTTTTCTATTTCCAAAGCCTTAGATAGACTGACACCAGGGAATTCTGATAGAAAATCGTGAGGCATTGCCAACCTGCTCACACTGCAGCTCAGGAGGGTTTAAACTGCAGGCCACGCTTCCCAGTAGGAGCTGGCCCAGGGAAGCTGCTCTCCAAGGCTCACACACACCAGTTTAGCAAGCAAATGCCTGCCATGACTTGTTGTGCACCAAGGAGAGAGGAAGACAACTTCACAGCTTCAAGAGGTCCAGGTTCCAATGTCAGAAATGCAAACAGAGACCCTAAATAGAGGTTTTCCTGCTCTTGAAGAATGACACCCAATGGAGCCTAAGGAGGGGCTGTTGGTGAGGGGCTGCTCCCTCCTCCCTCTCCCTGCCTTTATTACCACCAGGATCCAGTTGGCCCAGGATCCCCCGGGACTGCCCAGGGTTTGTCTGTGTGCAGACAGCTCTGATGTGGCAGCAGGGCAGACTCTAAGCGCTGGTGTGATTTAATAAACAGACACTTAAGGCAGTTTAGGCTGGAGTCAGCCCACTTCGATGGCCTTCTCTGCTAATTTAACACTGGCTGCAGCCCCCGAGCTGGCGTCTCCCTGCTCATTAGGGAGAAGGGGGTGTGTGCATGTGTGTGGGGGAGGAATTCTGCTTTCACATTGGTGCTCCAGAGATTTTATTATACTGGGCAGCTCATTTCAGGCACTACATTGCAGAGGATTTTTAAAGAGAAAGGGGGAGGCAGGGCATGCTAGTTAGGATGCTTCCCTGTTGTTATTTTCATTAATTTTCCTCTTTTTTTTGTTTTGGTTGGGGGGGATGTGACAAAAAGGGACAATAATTGCCATTTGCCGCAGACTTTGAGGAGTCCTCCTCAGCCATTACAGATTAAATTGCATTCTGTACAAGTGTCCATCAGGCCCCAGCTCCAGACTCCAGGCTGGTTAGAGGGCAGCTGATTCAGCTGCAAGAACATTTTGCTCCACTTCTGATCTGTCCTAATTATAAAAGGGATGCTCTTGCCCTTAACCCCTCGAGTTCTCTCTTCCCTATTAGTGTGGAACAGCCCTCAGCCAGCTCTTCCACTGGTCTGAGTCACCTGGGCTGGCAGCAGCAGGGAAGCTACACAGATCTGTGCTGCCTGAGTGTGTCTCTCTCCTCATTTTTATCCCCCTGACCCACACAAACAATTCGGATTTCAAATGGGGAATGGCAAAAGCAGGATGGGTTCAGGAGTTGCAGGATCTGTTTGATCGGGTTTTCAGAGTTTTGAAAAAATCAAATCTAAAACTAAAGAAAATATCCCCACTTTTCAGTCCAAAGGATGAATAGGTTGATTACACGTGGCTGAGGTGGTTTTAAGGGAGTGAGCAGCAGTGGTCCTTGCAGTATGGCAAGAGGGAGAGGCAGAGTCTGTAATATTTTTGGAGAGGATGAAGCTGCAGGCCTGTAAGGATTATATTGTGGTTCTGGCAGCACAAACAGTACCAAAGCTTGTTAGCAGCTGCCTCAGGAACAGCTCCACAGCTGTACTGACAGCACTGCAGTGTAGATACAGCACTGCAACCACAAAGCAGTGGGCTTCTCCCTTCAAATGGCAAACTGATCCATTCTTAAACCCTCTTACAATGGAGCTTTCCACACCTTCGGTCACAATGAGGTGCAACAGGACTAAAAACAGAGCAGAAAAACAATGTGGGAATGATATCGCTCCCTTCAGGCTTGATTTTGATTCAACCCTGACATCAACTTCAGCTGCTTCACTCCTGACTGGAGCTGGGCTACATCAGATGAGAATCCACCTTTTTTTTGAAGCAGTGAAATGTGGTTCAGCACAGGCCCCCCTCATCCCCTCCTAATACCAAGCTCCTGCTTTTTCCCCCTCACAACTAATTCCCATCCCCTCCACAGCCCATTCCTAAAAGAGGAGCAGGGTTAAGATTCCATGCTTCTCTGAGAACTGGCTGTGCATCCAAGTTGCCCAAGAGTGCCCTGGGCAGTTGTGGCCCCCCAGCACCACAATCAGGGCAAGTCTGTGCCTTAGCACCACCCTTCAGCCAGAGACAATTCCACTGATTAACACATCCAACACCACAAGGGACCAACACCTTCGGGTGGCCTGAAATCCTGCAAAACATGGACTGCTCAAAACTCCTGCAGGGAAAGGAATCCTCCTTCCCCATTTGCAAACCCAGCATTACCAAAAGCAGTGTCTCAGGGCTGGCATGCAGACTGCCCTGAGCCAGACATGCAGTCTCAGTTTGCACTCTCCGTGTGATCATGGATCAACCACATCCTATGCTCACCTATTCCCGACTGGCTCACCCAGTCAGTCACATCTTGCTTTTCTGTTGCCAGTATCTCTTTTCCTGAAGCAAGTGCAACGTTCAGAAACATCTGGCTTTAGTGATGACAAAACCAACTTGCCCTTACAGGCTGTTATATTTTGGCTGATGGCAGCTAAATGGTATTTTTCCCCTTAGATGCTCCCCCCTCCTTCTATTCATTTCTATGCTCTTCATTAAATTTCCACTTTAGTTTGCCTGAGAGGGTTTTTTCATTTTGTTTTTCTCAATGAGTTTACTTTCTCTGAATATTTCTTAGAGCCAACAGCCCTTTAGCCATTGGCAGTACTTCTAGAATGTGTTAGGGGAAAATGTAAAAGAGAGGGGGAAAAGAACTTAATAAAATATCCAGGGAGAAGAGCAGCACAGTGTCTGTCTTCTCCAGCTAGTACTGGACAGCTCCCTCAAACCAGGCTCTCATCCTCCATGCCTTGTGGCACAGGGAGCCTTTTAATACCCTTCTGGCAGAACCCCAAATCAGCTCTTACCATCCCCAGTCTATAACAGTGACTATGATCACAGCTCAGGAACACTGTGCAGAAGGTTTGCAGCAAACAATCTAAAGAAATTTTCCTTATAGAAGCATTTTTCTTGCCTTCAGTAGCTCAAGAGTGACTGATGACCTGATGCAGCAGGTCTGGCATTCCTGCCAGAGATGTGACCTGTTAAAATAATTCCTTACCCCTGTACCTGTGGATTCCAATGGTCCTTGTGGGTCCCTTCCAACTCAGGGTCTTCTGTGATGTCATGGTTCTACCTTCTAAATCCCTTTTAAAGAAGTTCCTAATACACCTTCTCTGCAACATTCAGTCTATGAAAAGCATATTTATTGCTTTTGGACTTACCCATCCTCTTCCAGAGCAGCACAGAGGCACTGGTCAGAACTGGGCACATGTTTTGGTTTGGAATCCCCTGTCCTGTCTTTTAACGCAGGATGAGCCACCTCCGTCTTCTTAAAACCACAACTCTGAAAGAACAGAAATTCGCTGCTTCAGTGGAAAGAACATTCTATCACTGGAACCTTAAAATGCTGATTAGTACAGTCCATGCAAGATTAGTTTTTCCAAGTCTTTGTCACACATAGAGTGAAGGAAGGGGCAGCAGCCTGTGCCAACTGAGAGGTACACAGGGAAAGGCTTGGGTAAAAATATGAATCTTTTTGCAGAAAAATGTAGGCTAAACCAGCAGAATTCCTGTTCATGTCAGCCTTCCTCATAACAGAGATGGCTCACAGGCAGGTATAAAATCAAGATGCTAAAAAGAAACCCTTTTTCCAGTTTTTCAAACACAAAGACCGCTTGTTTTTAAAAGGTATTTAATCTTTTAAAGATGTAAACTGGGGTTATTAGAAGTGCTCTGCAAGGCTTCACACACAAATCTTCTACTACTCATGTAAGTGCTACTTACTAACTGTTGTAACTAAGTTAAATCAGCATGACTTTCTCTCTGTGCAGATCCAAATGCACACATACAATTACTCCTTTGTGAGAAAGGAGAAAAGACAGTCATAGCAATGTAAAATTAGTTCAAAACAGATGCTGCACTTCAGTAAATAACAACATCAAATGATCCCATATGTAAACAAATATTTCCAGCAGTATAAATTTGGTAAGTGAATGAAGCTGTGGGGGTCAAACAAACAAGGAACTGCATTTCACTGAGTCAGTCAGCTGAGCTTCTGTTCATGTGCACTTTTAGCTCACCCTAATTTTGAAAAATCACAAGCTAGAATCAATAATTACTTAATGAGTGAATACTTAATTGCTGATTTATCATCATCATTATTAATGTTATTTTACATGTTGCTGCTAGTGCCAGGAGGAGGGGAAAAGAAGAGACAGGGCAAAGTATATCAGAGCAGGCGTGTGAGACGTGGTTGTTTAAGGAGTTTAAGAGGTGAAAGAAATCCTAAACAAGACTAAGGTCTGAAAAATGATCACCTAGAGTCTATTTAGAACAGGTGAGGATGTTACCAGGAAAGTAATAATGCCAACAAAACTGAATTGCACTGCAGAGCTACCTAAGAATCTCTGCCACTGACCACACTTGGACTATGAGCTGTAGCAACCCCAGAGAAAAAGAGGGTCCCCCAGAGGGAGACAGCAGAAATAGGTGTGAATGCTCCACCTCAGTAAGTTTTAAAAGCCATCTGATCAAACCCCAAACGTAATTTATTCTCTGAAGCGCCGCCATCCCTTCCACTCACATTCTGTGAGTGCATTCCTTCAACCCTGGCACAAGGGAAAGGCCTTCCCCTTTGTCTGCACTGCAGGAGAGAGGAATCCCTGTCCCGGGTGGGCAGCAAGGCTCTGGTTGAAGGGAAGGCAGGGAAGGCCAAGCTTTCAGCCATTTTGTGCAGCCGTTTCCGTGCCCTCGGCCCGAGCTGATCGTGTCAGTGTCTCAAGGTCCCCCGGGACCGTAATCTTATGTGTTCAGAGAGGCTTTAGTTCATGCAAGGTCAGAGTAATTGTGCATGATTAATGGTTTATCTCTTCCTGAAAGCCTTACACAAAGGCTCCAAACCAAGTTAGCCGTAATTCCATACTCCTTACAGCCTGCTTAAAGGGGCAGCATCCTATTTCCTCTTGGTGGGGCCAAGCGGGTTGACTTTATCTATCAGAATTGGAAACGGGCCATGGAGCCTTTGAAAGAAGTTCCTCTCCCCCATTCAGCTCCTGAGGAAACATGAATACACTGAAAGGAAAAGAAAAAAAAAAAAAAAAAGAAAGAAAAGAGAGAAGAAAAAAACCAGAAAGAAAAAAGAAGTCCAAATTCAGTCTAAACCACTCTAAAGTCTGAAAAAAGACTTCTCTGTAACAGCCCCCAAACCTTTTGCTGTGAGATGCTTTGGTTTTCTACAGAATTGCTCCTTATCGTATTGCCAGAGCAGGGCACATTAGAACCACCTCAGAATCTCGTTTTTTATCGTGCGCCCTTATTTTGTTACAACAAGGATCATTTTTAATCAATTACAGCTTTGTGACCACGGGCAGCCAAATAAGCTGATTAAATTATTATTTGCAGATAGCGCTCACAGATAATTCCTCAGGGATGGCTGCAAATTTAGCCCTTTTTTGTTCCACAGAGCATTAAAGCAGCCCCACTGCCCTCAATCCGTGCCTTTTGCTGGAGATTTTACCTGCCTGTGTTCAGACCGGGGAGCATTTGGGAACGGCTCGGTTCAGCTCTTTGGTTCCACGCTGTGTGTAGTTGGGCATGTCACTCATATGCTGCTGTTCCTGCTCTCTGAGTGGATGTGCAAAGCCCTTCACCCCACAGAACAGTGACTAGTTTTGTTCACAGAGCAAATCCTCCCTGCTCTCCTGGGGCTGAGAGGCTCAGGTCACACACCACGTTCTTGGGGGTTTTATGCGAATCCAAACCCAAGTTTGTTCACCAACAGCAGAGATCACAGACATGGGGGGACCAAAACAGCACTTGGCAGCTCAGGCAGACTTTTTTCTTTTGTAAATATGATTCCCACTGTCAACTTAGGTTGAGTGTCTGGGAATTCAAAATCCTGTGTTTAGTCGGAGGCAGGAAAAGGCAAACAGCACGGTTCGAAACTTCCACACAGTAACAGGAGTCATCCAGAGCTCGTGGAAAATGAGCTGCTGAGCCACAAGAAAAGCACCACTGCCAGTCACAGGCTGTTCAGCCCACTCTGAAAGTGTGGCAGGAACAGCATTTATTGCAGAATGTGGAGGAGCTGAACCTCCATCAGCTGAACCCCATCATCAGCTGCCTTCAACATCTTCCTTCCTACCAGGAGAGAACTGGCTGAAAACTGCAACCAGAAGGTCCCTTGGATGAAAGAGAATCATCACCTCTAAGAGAAATGGTAAGATTGGACACTGGACTACAAACAGCAAGCTGAGGGAATTGGTCTCTTGGACAGACTTCCAATGGGAAGCAATGTAAAGCTGGAACCTACTGGACAGACTATACAAAGAGTACAGGAGCAAAGTGACAGAAGGGCAATGGATGGAATGGAATGGAATGGAATGGAATGGAATGGAATGGAATGGAATGGAATGGAATGGAATGGAGTGGAGTGGAATGGAGTGGAGTGGAATGGAATGGAATGGCTCTGATGTTAATTAAGCAAAAAAAAACAAACAACAAAACACTAACATGGAAATAGCAACACACAAGTTTATACCAAGGAAGAGCATATGAGGAAGGGAAAAAAATTTGGGACAGAACTGCAAAACAAATTGCACACACCACACATAAAAAGCAGAGAGGAAAAAAATGAGAAAGTCATCGATGCCTTCTTCACTTCCAAATTCACTAAAAGATTAATGGTGACTCAAGGTAATTTCTCCTACCAAGAGAAAGACACAGTCCAGAACAAAGACAAAGCAGGTTAAATGACACTTCTGTCAGTACAGCCCAACTGGGGCTGTGTGCTAAATCCTCCTTCCCCGGAGAGAAAAGGAAACATCATAAATTATCCAAGCTGTGGAGCAGATCCTATGCACATGCCCATACAGCCAGGAACTGGGAATGGCAGCAGGCACCTTCCTGTAAAAATGGGGTCTGGGGAGAGAACACCAAAAATTCTGACCCCGTGGAAGCCACATTTGAAGCCACTCTGAGCTACTTAAATGGAACACAACCAAGCACGTAGGGCTGATAAAGTCTGCCCTAAAGAGTTCAAAAGTAGCTGTAATAGTTAATTGTGAATAACTAGTATTAACTTTGGTGTAATTCTGGAAGGTTCTGGACAAACAGAAGGCAAACAAAGGGCCCATCTTTAAAAGCACAACTCGGCAAACTACAAGTTACTCAGCTGCAACATGTAGAACACGCAAAAAGAAAAATGAATTAAACAACCATTTTACAAGTAACTGGGAGGGGGTGGAATGATGAAAATCTGTCAATACAGAATGGCCAGGAACAAATTATGTTCCATTTACTATGTTGCATCTAATGGGGTAACAGTCCCCGTGATTAGGGGGAAGCATTAGGGTGATTTGCCTTGAAAAGTAAAGTAACAAAGCAGTGCTTTTAATCCTTGCCCACATAATGTTTTCAGAGCACAGAAGGGAAATCAAATGTAGATTAAAATCACCACAATTTGGTGTACAACTATCTAGAAAATCCTCTTAAATTAACAGCAATTTGCTGTCAAACTCCTCGTATGCAGCTCCACAGGGGAACCACAGCAGCTCCAGCTTCACTGGCACAGACAGCCCCTGGAGATCCACTGCCACCATTCTGCCAGGTCATCAGGAGTCAACAATCCCAATAAATTGGGAAAAAGATCAATTGTGTCCAGATGGAACAAAACAGAGAGGCAAAAATTCAATCTATAATAAACAAATTCAAACAGATACAAACAGTTATCGGCAATATTCACAGAAGGAGCTTCAACAATGCAAATGGAACTTTGATCTACGAATTGATGTCACCAAAACAAGGAGAAGGAGGAGGAAAACATCTTATCCCAGAATGTCCTGACAGGTGAAAAATGGAATGTCATCCTCCCAGTAGTTAAGCCTCAAGTTAAGCCAAGATATCCAGCTTTGGCCACCTCACTGTAACACAGCTCTAGGTGGACAAGAGACCACCAGGAATGAGAAGAAGGTTCAAAGACATGGATGAAGAGAAAAGATCGATGGAACTGTGTTAATTTCCATCCAAAAGTGAACAGGACATGACTCTTCTTTTGCAGTGGATAAGCAGTGGTTATAAAGAAGACTGACATTCCTTTTTTCCTCTGGCCACTTGGTGGTAGAACAAAACGTTACCAGCTTTGCTGATGGCAACAATATTTGGGTTTGTTATTACCTTAATGTCACGAATTAAAAAGAGAACTAAGCAATAAAATGATCCAGCTACATAGGCAGGAAAGAGGATTCCCTTCAAAGAGGGACTTTAGAGACCTTTGCCACAGGATAGCCTGAGCACACACTCACAGACATGAGCAGCACAA